CCCGCCCCCCCACCCACCCCCCCCTACCACAACACCCCCATCCCAGCACACAGCTCCCACACCCCCAACACCCCCATCCCAGTACACAGCCCCCACTACCACAACACCTCCATCCCAGCACACAGCTCCCACACCCGCAACATCCCCATCCCAGTACACAGCCCCCAGCCCTACAACACCCCCATCCCTCACCTCAGGATGCAGATTCCCTCTTCTAGCATGTCCCCCATTCTAGCACCCACAGCTCCCCTCCACTATCCCAGCACACACAGATCCTCTGTCGCCTTCCCCCAGCAGCACCCCCATCTCAGGACACACAGCTCCCCTCCCCCATCTCAGCACAAGCAGCTCCCCTCTCCCCTCCCAGCACACGCAGCTCCCTCCCCATCTCAGCACACGCAGCTCTCCTCCCCCCTCCCAACACACACAGCTCCCCTCCCCCCTCTCAGCACACGCAGCTCCCCTCCCCCCTCTCAGCACACGCAGCTCCCCTCCCCCCTCTCAGCACACGCAGCTCCCCTCCCCCCTCTCAGCACACGCAGCTCCCCTCCCCCCTCTCAGCACACGCAGCTCCCCTCCCCCCTCTCAGCACACGCAGCTCCCCTCCCCCCTCTCAGCACACGCAGCTCCCCTCCCCCCTCTCAGCACACGCAGCTCCCCTCCCCCCTCTCAGCACACGCAGCTCCCCTCCCCCCTCTCAGCACACGCAGCTCCCCTCCCCCCTCTCAGCACACGCAGCTCCCCTCCCCCCTCTCAGCACACGCAGCTCCCCTCCCCCCTCTCAGCACACGCAGCTCCCCTCCCCCCTCTCAGCACACGCAGCTCCCCTCCCCCCTCTCAGCACACGCAGCTCCCCTCCCCCCTCTCAGCACACGCAGCTCCCCTCCCCCCTCTCAGCACACGCAGCTCCCCTCCCCCCTCTCAGCACACGCAGCTCCCCTCCCCCCTCTCAGCACACGCAGCTCCCCTCCCCCCTCTCAGCACACGCAGCTCCCCTCCCCCCTCTCAGCACACGCAGCTCCCCTCCCCCCTCTCAGCACACGCAGCTCCCCTCCCCCCTCTCAGCACACGCAGCTCCCCTCCCCCCTCTCAGCACACGCAGCTCCCCTCCCCCCTCTCAGCACACGCAGCTCCCCTCCCCCCTCTCAGCACACGCAGCTCCCCTCCCCCCTCTCAGCACACGCAGCTCCCCTCCCCCCTCTCAGCACACGCAGCTCCCCTCCCCCCTCTCAGCACACGCAGCTCCCCTCCCCCCTCTCAGCACACGCAGCTCCCCTCCCCCCTCTCAGCACACGCAGCTCCCCTCCCCCCTCTCAGCACACGCAGCTCCCCTCCCCCCTCTCAGCACACGCAGCTCCCCTCCCCCCTCTCAGCACACGCAGCTCCCCTCCCCCCTCTCAGCACACGCAGCTCCCCTCCCCCCTCTCAGCACACGCAGCTCCCCTCCCCCCTCTCAGCACACGCAGCTCCCCTCCCCCCTCTCAGCACACGCAGCTCCCCTCCCCCCTCTCAGCACACGCAGCTCCCCTCCCCCCTCTCAGCACACGCAGCTCCCCTCCCCCCTCTCAGCACACGCAGCTCCCCTCCCCCCTCTCAGCACACGCAGCTCCCCTCCCCCCTCTCAGCACACGCAGCTCCCCTCCCCCCTCTCAGCACACGCAGCTCCCCTCCCCCCTCTCAGCACACGCAGCTCCCCTCCCCCCTCTCAGCACACGCAGCTCCCCTCCCCCCTCTCAGCACACGCAGCTCCCCTCCCCCCTCTCAGCACACGCAGCTCCCCTCCCCCCTCTCAGCACACGCAGCTCCCCTCCCCCCTCTCAGCACACGCAGCTCCCCTCCCCCCTCTCAGCACACGCAGCTCCCCTCCCCCCTCTCAGCACACGCAGCTCCCCTCCCCCCTCTCAGCACACGCAGCTCCCCTCCCCCCTCTCAGCACACGCAGCTCCCCTCCCCCCTCTCAGCACACGCAGCTCCCCTCCCCCCTCTCAGCACACGCAGCTCCCCTCCCCCCTCTCAGCACACGCAGCTCCCCTTCCTCCTCCCAGCTCACACAGCTCCCCTCCCCCAGTATCACCCCTTCCCCATCACACACACTCCCTTTCTAAACTCTTGCAACCTCCTCCCGCCCCATCCTCCATTCCCGCACAGGACTCCCCTCTCCTTCCCTTTCCCTCCCTATCCCTGTAGAAAACCTTGGAGTTGCTCCCTTCCTCCTGTCCTGACACCTCCCTGTTCTTGCTCCCATCTCTTCTCCACATGGCCAAGGCAGGCTGCGTGGCCCACCCCACCCTCCCCAGCTCTGGGAGAAACGGGGCTCGAGGAGGGGTGTTCAGGCACCAATCTCGCCTGTCCTGCAAAGGCCATGGGACGCCCGGATGCAGGGATCCGGACCGTCTGAGCTGACACATGTAGGGCAACAGAGGAAGAGAGAGCACAAGAGAACCTGAAGATGGAGAAATGCCCTGGGGGCATCCATGCCAGGGTCACAGAGGGCCAGGCACAGTGGAGGGTTTCTTATGTCCGTCCAGCAAGGCAGGCGGCTGGGGCTAATTGCTGCTGGCTTGGGGCTGACTGAAAAACTCTGCTGTTGCTGCTGACGGGATGGGAACGGGGAAGGGTGCCGGAGAAAGGGAAGGAAGCGTGTGCTTTTACAGGGGTTCACCGCAGCCTGCGCTGCCCCAAGCTAAATGGGACGCCCTCGACCCAGCCCCCTGCCTCCTTGTTCCAGCAGCCAGGGATGGAAGGGACCGGCCCGAGCTGGATAGTGCCCTACAAACTGACCTTCAGTGCTCGGATGGGCTAGCTGTACTGGTCAGGGAGCTGTGAGATGGGAGGGTCTCAAAGCTCAAACTCCAGCCCCTATCCGGAAGTCAGCACAGCAATGAAACGGCCCCACAGCATGAGTCCTGGAGGCAGTATTGATTTTGTTCCTTTGATTTTTTTTTATGTGGAGACATGCCCCGAGTCAACCACCCCCCAGGAATATCCTAAATGCAGTCTGGATCTGCCTGGCAGTCGAGAGCATGTCTACACTGGAGTTACTGTTGCTCTAGCATGGAGAAGCCTCGGTTTGTACTCCACGCTGTACACATACATGACAAGAAACAATGCCTGGCCTAAACTGTGCACAACCTAACTGAATGTAAGGGGACTGTTACCCCTTACTAAAACTCTGTGGGAGTTTTTTGGTTTACCAGCTTCAGAAGGGGAAGGGTTCATGAGACTGACAGACCCCAGAGACAATGGAAAGCAGTCAACACTCCAGCTCAGCCTGACTGACAGGTTGTAAGTGGGGATTGTTCTGGCTCTGGCTCTGAACAAACAAGCTGTGTGCAGAAGAGGTCCTGCAAAGACAGAGAGCTGAAAGAGGAGTACAAGAAGAAGTCCTGCAGCGACAGAACCAGACACAGACAGGCCAAGCAGTGCAGACCCTGTGTTGAGCAGCAGACTGGCAGTGCTCAGAAAGCCAAAAGGAACAGAGAAGCAACACAAGGAGCTGGAACTGGCCAAGCAGCACAACCTGCAGCTGGATGTGGTGAGCTACTGGGACCTGCAAAGTGTGGGGAAAGGCTCTGGACTGGGAGAGGGGTCTGGCCACTTAGAGACTGAGCCTTTCCCCGTCCAGAGCCTTTCCCCACACTTTGCAGGTCCCAGTAGCTCACCACATCCAGCTGC